GGGGGGGGGGGGGGGGAGAGAGGCGGAGAGAGTCAGGCACAGACAATGAGAAGAGAGAGACGGGCGGGGAGAGGGCGAGAGAAAATCAGACCCGAGAGAGGCAGGCCGAGACAGAGCGAGAGAGAAACTGTGTGTGTGTGTGTTTGTGTTTTACAGTGGAATCCCTTGAGAGGTATGGTTCTCGCCGACGCCCCAACGGCATGAGCTATCCATCCCAGTGCGAAGCATGGCCTACGCCCCGTCTGGGAAGGGCTCCAAGGCCCAACAGACTCAAGGCGACTGAGTGTCTTCCTTCTTTCCCCCGATGATTATGCCTCCTCTCCGCAGGTGATCAACCGGTCTTCTAAGTACAAGAACCGGTACATCCACAGGAGAGACAGCCTGTCTCTCGCGGCGCTCAGTCTAGACGACAGGGACAAGGTGAAGCTAACGGCTGGGATTTTTTGGTGGTTGTTGTTCTTGGTTTGTGTGTTGTTGCCGTGTCTGCTGCTGCTGCTGCTGTTGGTCTTGTTGTCGTTTGCTGGTGCTGGCGCCGCCTTGTCTGTTGTTGGGCGTGACGTCTTGCTGTGGTGAGTTGGTTGGAGCACCCGGAGGCGGTTCACGTGGTTTTCCGGTGCCTGTGTGCTTCACCCCCCCTTGAGCTCTCACCTCCAATTCTGAACCTTGTCGGCATCATAACCACCATGCCACGTCCGTAAAGAGCTCTTGGCTCCTTGCCCACCGATGAGCGTTGTTTGGATCTACTGCTGTACGTCGACGCGCGTTCCTTTTTGGTGCGATTTGGACACGCTCGTACTTGCTGGCGCACCCTCTTGGGATGCTGATTTTTTTTTTCTGTCACGTAGTAAGCGAGCAATAGAGGGGGAATGGGAAAGCTTGTTGAGGCGGCCACACGTGCACTGTCGCCGCGTCAAGGACCTCTCTCGCTCTCTCCGTCATGGCGTTGGCAGCCGCCGCCCTCTTTTGTTGGCGCTCTACGGGCGTTTATGAGAGGTGGTGAACGATCGAGACGTGCACAGTGCGCTCGGCAGGCCAAGCCAGACCTTTCGACTAGTGTGAAAGGCTCACATGCGTCGGGATTTAGAGCTTCTTTCCAAGGATTTCTTGCAACACGACACCCTGTGGTGCTGCCTTCAACGATAAATGAACCCCACTTCAATCATCGCGTTGGTTCTCTTGCTGTCGGTTTCGGCGGCGTAACGTTTTTGACTACCATCCACGAAGCTGACGCGCATTGGGGTGGTGACAAACCATGCCTCGGAGGGAGTTCCAGAGGACGATGAGGAGTACGAAGAAGATGAGGATGACGAGGAAGAGGTGCGGGCGACTTTGACAGCAAGCGAGGGGCACGGTGTTGGTTTGGTTTTTCTTCTTCTCTCACGGGGTACCTCGGGGGTGATTTTTGTCATCGTGGGAATAGAAAACGGTGGGGGGGGGGGGGGGGGGTGTACTCATAGTCGTGCATGCCGGTAGTCATTAGAACCATTGACCTCGCATCCCTACAAAGCCGGGACGGAGCACGCCGGGTTCTCACCGGACCAGGCTCTCACATCACCAAGCGCGAAGCACCGTGAGGTATTTGGCGAGTCGCATGAAGGGTGAGCTGCATCCTGCTAAGGGTGTTCGGCATCTTGTGCTTACTTCCTTGCGTACGGATGACAGCTACGTATGACTTAATTTATTTTCTGGTGCTTTCACTTCCAGAGACAGTTGTAAGCACTGTGTAACTGCCTCGAGGGTGCTTGACCAATATTAACACAACGTGGTGCGATCATCCCCTTTGCGCAGAGTGAGGGTTCTCCACCCCGCACAACATGATCTACTCGACCACCATTATGGTTACCGCCAAAAAAAAAAAAACGACGTAAAAAAAAAAAACGGTAACCTGGTTGCCGAGTTCACCAAGTGAATTGGCTTGTTTTACAACGTCGTTGCCAAGCGACGAAAACCCAATCCCGATGGCAAACACCGAGCGGGCGGCTTGTTTTACAACGTCGTTGCCAAGCGACGAAAACCCAACCCCGATGGCAAACACGCGGGGGGAGGGGGGATAGGTGAAAACGAGGCATTGAAAAGCGTTTAGCAACATCATTTCAAGCTTTTTACCGCCCCGTGCACGACGCGGAGAAGGAACATGAGGAGAGGGAAGGGGTTTAGGCGAAAAAGTAGTAGCGTTGCCTACTCTCGACGAGGCCGTTGTGTTTGCGGCAAGCAGATAATGCGAGGCTTTTGCGGCGAATATGGTGGGGATGCTGCCTGGGGGGGAGAGAGAGAACGGTTGGAGAGGCCGTGAAGACCACATTGCGATGGTATTTTCACACCTCACACCAAATTTTTCAAACATCTGTCTGTAGTTTCTCCGAGACATACCGACGTGGCCACACACGGTGCTTGCTCTTGGAGCGCATGATGACGATGCACGTCGGTTGCTTGCGCAGGCAGCACCACAGAGTTGTTCACCGCTACCAACCCTTGCGCATATACCGCCGTTTCTTTGTTTCGTCGACCAGGAGGATGAGGTGCGAGAGGGAGGAGGGTCTGCGGGATCAGGGGCGGCGGGGCAGGACAGCGGAAAAGAAGGCGGGAACGGGGAGGGGGCTAACGGAAAGCGGGTGGTTGACATGGTGAGTTGCATTCGTCGACTTTGTTTTGTTGACGTTGTCGAGATGCCATGTCGTGCCTGCGTTGCATTTTGAGCCCTTTATTTTGTGAGCGTGGCTTGTTAGTGGGCTGATCGCCGCGGTGCCTCTGCGTTTCACTACCCGTGGAAGATGGTCTGCACATTTTTTTTTTCTGGGTAGTTTGTAACACTTTTCGAAAGCGGAGGAACGTTTTTTTCAAGTGCCTTGCCGGAGGCCGTGCATGTGCGCTGGGCAGAGTATTGCACGAAAGGGCGCTAACGCTAACGCTGCTTGTTGAAAAACGGAGTGCTTTTCCATTTCAGTTGGCGTTCTTCCTACAAACGAGAAAATCATCCCCCTGAAACGAGAGAATTCAGAGTATTCACCCGTTTCGGCTGGGTGCGATGAGGCTCAAGTCTGGCAATTCTTTGGGAGGGAGTAGAGAGCGGGGTGGGTAAGAAAACAACTGGGCTGCTCTTCACAACCTGAAAAATCCGCAAGTTGAACACATCTCCGCAGGAGGCCACCTCTCATGTGCAAGTCTCATGTTCTCCACTTTTTCATTTGTTTGCTTTACGAAAATTGACCTTGGTGTACAAGTCTCGTGTTGTTTGTTTCCGCATTGTATGCGAAAATCGTATTCCGTACCAAGTCTCGTGCTATTTTTACGTCCCTTGTTTTGTATGCGAAAATCGACCCGAACAGCAGGTGGGCCACAACAACTCGGCGAACTCACGGGACACCTTCGACGGCTACTACGACCAGCGGGTGGACTACTCGAGCGACGACGAGGGCAAAACGCTCCGATGAATCTGCTTGGTGGATGCGACCGGTTGGTCTCACCTTTCGAGATACCCTTTTTTTCGTGTTTTCCTCTCTTTGTACATCATTTTCCCAGTATTTTTTCCTCTTGCCATGGATGACCGCCTGGTTTGATGGTTTTTCCTGCGGGTTGCTGTAGCTCTCGAGGGCGGTGTTGTGAAGGAGTGTCTCCACAAAACCCCCGCGAATTGTTTATTTTCGATGATTTGTCAATCTTCGCTTCGGTTCGAACGGCATGATCGTAGCACCGTCAAAGAAGGATGGTAGCAACACCGTTGATGTGGGCTTTCAACGATTGGTCAATGCTTCTGTTCGTTTAAGGACAGAATGATGGTACGAGTAGCACATCAATGAAGGATGGTAACAACACCATGGTGCTTCAATGATTGGTCGATCCTTCTCTTCGTATTGAACGGAATGATGTTGGCACCATGAATGACGTTATTTTCAATGATTGGTGTCAATCTTCGATGATTGGTCTATTCTTCCCTCCGGCGATTGGTCTATCTCCTCTTCGCATTCAACCGAAATATGGTAGCACCATCAATCTAGCTTGCGCATTGCGCCCCCACGTTTAGTGATCGTGTGCCCAACACGGCTGCCTGGTCGAAATAGCCGCCTTTAGGTTCTTACCGCTTCTCTTTTTTGCCATCGATGTGAAGCCAGTCGTCAGTCAGTGCATGGCCACCCCCAAGGGCTGATACCCTCGGTAACAGCAGGCGTCTCCAGCTCGTCTGCCTTGTGTTACTCGTTTGGTTCGGACTAATGGGTGGGCAGTGGGTTAGGCCAGACCACACTCGGAAAGGAAGCCCGCATTTGTTGTGGTGTTTTTCATTTCTGGGGCTACAGATTCGGAGGCCTTGCTATATGGCTTGATGTAATCGCTTGTCTTGTTTTTTTTCGAAGTTTTTTTTTGTGTTTTGACGCTGAATCGAGATATAATGCCAATCGCCGCCTTCCAGAGTTTTCGTGAACTAATAATACTCCCGTGTTGCGCAGCAAATGCGCAGGTTATAGTTGGGCCCCCGCAAAGTATGGGCGAAAGGAATCCGGGTGATTTGACGGGGGGGGGCATTGTATACCGTGTGGCGCGTGCCATTCATTCTCCTTGATGGTTTTGTAGCCTTCCTTTCGGCTGCGTTTTGTTTGTGTGTGTGTTTTCCCTCTTTTGATAGGGCGCACACGAAAGACGCGTCATACGGTAGTGACAGGCAGGGAGGCAGGGAGACGGAGCGGGCCTGCAATGGCGCCCACCAAGATTTGGTTGTGTTGTCTTGCGCGCGTGCATGAAGAAAAGCATCGGTGATAGATGCTGGGTTTGCGAGGCGGCTCGACGTATATTCGCGCACTAGGGTACACACACACGCACAAGGCGCCGGTTTGTCTGGCGTCCGTCAATAGAGCGCAGTAGACGTTGGGAGAGACGACGCGAAAACCGAAAACGCCATTGATGATCGATTTTGCTGTTAGCTGTACGATCGTGCGGGTACCTGTGTGCCCCCCTCCTCGGGTGCTCGTTTCTGTTTCTGTGGGGTGCTCGCCTGCAGCTGTTGGCTGCGATTGGAGAGCAGCTACTCCCTGTGGAGATGAGTGTGGCTCACCGAGATGCCGTGTACACTCAAGCGCGAGCTTTTTTCGCAGCAAGAGCGATGAGAGAACTTTTATGGCAACCGTGGCGTTTTGTGGAGAGCCAGTCGGGGCTGCCTATCTGTCGCGAGTGGACACGGTGTTGGAAACGTGTTGAACGGGAGATGGTCTTGTGTACCCCATCTACACGCCTTGGATGAATGTTAATGTTTGATCTTTTGAACTTTTTGGGAAGGGGAGGGGGAGAAGCGGTTCTCGTGGGGCATGGGTCGGCTCGGCAAGAAGTTGGCACGGTGTTGGTGTGTAATACTATGAACTGTCCTTTGTTTGTTGTACCCATGGCGTAAGATTAGGAAGTGATGTGACGCCTGTGGGCGTCCCCTGCCTTGATGGCATGTCCGACGAACCAGGGGTGGCGGTTGACCCTGGCAGCCAGGCGGTCAGGCAAAACTTCTGACCGTTGAGAAAATTAGCAACTCTGGAGAACAAGCACCCTTTTGTCTATAGGGAGCATGGACATTTTTGGAAGATGTTTTGCGGTGGACTTTGAACGTTGGCGCTGCCGCGTCGGACGCAGTAGGGGTCGGGGTTGTCCATTGTGCTGAAACGACCTTTTCTTGTAGAAACGGTGCTGCCTTCCTCAATAGTGGGCAAGGTGACCGGCGTGCGCAGACATGGGCACGATGAGTCGTTGGTTGGAGCAGCTTGTTCTGGCAAGCGTGCCAATCCTCGATGGGCCACGTGATGGCTGTGGGTCTGTGCGCATTAGTTGCGTTCTCGGTCGGATTGGGAGAGTTTAGGGTCAAGAAGAGTTGTTGTTGCCGCGGTGGGGAGCTTTCCTCCACAATTTCGGTTTTTCACGCGGCGGTGTGCATACAATTGCGACCTCGTGTTGGGTGTTCTAAAACTTCTAAAATTGGATTATTGTTAGACCTGTCGGTCCTTTCGTGTTGGGTAGCGATTCACCGTTGACTGTGCGGTCGGTCGGTCAGGCGAACACATGTCCTTGTGCGCACACGGTCAGCGAGCGGTGTCCATTCAATGCGCACCCACACGCACCATTTAACCCCTTTTCCCGACCGGTTCAGCCGGATTTTATTGCGCTGTGGGCGCCGCAAGTATTCAATGCCCTCTTTTCCTCCTAGACTACTTCGCTTACGTACATCCGGCTGGTACATCCCGCACGTCCCCCACTCCGTATACTCTATACCAACTATGGGCTATATTCGTTAAGCGGCCACACACCCAAACCATGCCCCGTGCCAAGCCATAACTGAGGCCTGCACACACACGTGAAATTGAATTGTCAAGAGAGTTGCCACGGAGAAGTGAAGGACAGGACGGGCGGAGTTTGTCGTTCTTGATGTTGGACTTTAAGGACAACAGGTGCTAACCCCAAGCGCTGCTCAACAACACAGCATGAATTATGCCAACACCGCTTACCCCGGCTATGGATACACGCTTCGAAACACACACACACACACAAAGGATTCGAGGGAACAGAGTCGTTTAGTATATCAGGGAAACGATCTCGCCTCCCTTTCTTGGTGGGTGACCTAAACCAAGTCCTAATTCAATCATCGTTCCACCGCGAAGAATCGCCACCGTCGTCCGAGTCTTGCCCCGAACTTGCACCTTGTTTCAAATCAAGGTCGCTGTCCGATTCATTTCCGGAGAATAGCACGTGCGCTCTAGCGGCAGCGGTGGGGTCGGCCCGCGTTCCTTGGGACGAGGAGGAGGAAGTCTCTTGCCCCTCACCGCTGGTCCTTCTGCTCCTTCTCCGCCGCCCTGCCTTAGCATCGTCATCGTCGTCTAGGAAATTATTCCCATGACCGCCCCCGCCGCTGCCTTCATCGTCATCGATGTAGAGGCTTCCCCTCCCCCCTTTCCCTCGCCCTCGTCCACGCGTGGGCGCCTTCCCGTCTTCTCCGCTGCTGCTCCCTCCTCTCCCGCTGTCGCCATCGCCTTCCTCCCCACTTTTTCTGGCGCCGCTCCCACCGCTGCTCCTCCTTGTACGCTCTCTTTTCGAGGTGGACGATCGCCTGTCGCTCGCTGCTGCTGCCCCGGCGGGTGCACGTCCCTCCAGTTCGTCGCCACCGTCTTCCCACCCCTCTCCACCACCACCGCCGACGCTCCGGCGACCGGTGCCAAGACGCTCAGTGGTACCGTCACCACCGTTCCCGCGGGGGCTGCGCCGGCTGCTGCGTCTTCGATTGGACAATTCCTTGACAGCGCCACCGCCGCCGCCGTCAGATCCGGCGCTGTCCGAAGACTCTCCATCCCACCCCCAAGTCGTCCCGGCGCGGATCCCCCCGCCGCTTTGTCTCCGGTCAACAGCCGCTAAAGAGCCGAAGCTACCGTTGCGCCCACCCCCTTCGCCGGAGACGGCCACGGCGCTCGAATTCCGGCCCGTCGCCTTCGACGCTACCGCCGTCGCCGCGGCCACCGCGGCTCCGCCGCCGGCCTGCAGGGAATTCTTGAGGGAGGTCGGGATGACTGCCAGGGACGACCGTCGCCGCTGTTGTTCTTTCCTACCTTCTACCCCGGCGGAGCTAGCTCTCCGGAGTCTTGACGGCGGTGCTCCTCTCCCCGCCGCCGACGTAGCTCCTCCTCCTCCTGCTGCTGCCCCCCCGGCGCCTCCGCCTCCTCCTTGTCCTCCCGCTTGTGGCCCTCTTGACCATCCCTTGGGGATCCCTTCGAGGCCACCGCTCCCCCATCCGCCCACGAAAGAGGCGTTGTTGTTGTCCTGTGCGCTCGACTGGTCGGCCAATGAGGGTGGATTACACAAAGGGTAGAGTCAGTCCCTGCTTCTACGCCAAACGAACGCTTTCTCGGCACCTGAACGCCCAAAACTTGCTGTCACGTGTTGCTTTGTGTATTGTATCGTTCGAAGGCTCTCTTGGCCATCCCCGGCCAGCTCGGGCAATGAGGGCGGGGGGTGTTGTTGTTGTTCATGTTGTTCATGTTATCGTCGATAACCATGGCACGCCGGATTTTCTGCGGGGGTGGTCTACGTTAATTTTCCTCGCTGCGTTGGCTAAGAATACATCACTTGCTGTTGACAATGTAGGTCAGGGAATGAGAGAACAGAGGGTTAGGGTTACTTTATTGGGAAATGCGATCTTGGCACGGCAGGATGAAGAAACTGCGGACCTTGTTCTCCCAGCGTGGTTGGATCATTGGGTCACTACTGCAGACCTCCCTTCGCTCCTCTGGCAATGCAGCTTTCGTACTGTGATGCGGCCTACACGTACGTGTACGCCCTTAATCTACACGCCACGAATATCCTCAAGGTCGTACCAGTTGTGTTGAGGTTTTCACTTGACCTCTCCCTGTCCGTTCATCGAGCTTAGCATCCTCGGTGCATTTCATTTTCTCGGTCGGAGCGACAAATGAGAAGGAACGTACCATGGTACTATTTTTTACACCATGCAAATACTACTTCAGGTATATAGCACGGGTCGCAAACGTGTGTGAAAATTTTAAAACACAGCCGTAATGGTAGTGCCAATGGCAGTAGCACGAAGGTCTATACCTGCTTGCTCTCCGGGGAACCCGGTGGGCTCGCAAGGTACGCGCTCTGGGTGCTCATGACGACGCCCGTGGCACTCAAATGATTTGGTCGCCTTGGGTTGTTCGTCCTCCCAACCCCAGCAGCGTCTTCCGACATGCCAGGGTCTGCCGAAGACATTGATTTCCCGCGAGTATTCAAAATTTCGGGGTGGGCGGGAGGGATGTTTTGACGAAGGAATGCTGTACAATAACTCGCTGATCCGCTCATTCTATTGCGTGAACACTACTTCCGTCCTTCTCGATAGTTGCAAAATACGAATGCCAAGAAGGGCGGAGTATGATGCTTTTCTGTTGAAACTGCCCAAGATATGTGCGCATTATGTCTTGCATGCACGCATACGAAATACAGAAGAGTTGTCGAGACTGGGCCGGTGTGAAGCTTCACAAAGCAACATCGACTTACTCCACAACGGGTAGAGTCGTCTGAAGCAATTCTGCGTTTCTCGTGTAACAAACACAACGGGTCGAGGTTGAAACAAGCAGAAGACGTCCCGTGTTTTGGTCGAACATGACTCGGATTCCGGTAGCGATGCTTGCTTAACCCATGTTTTCGTCTCACCTGCCGTGCTACCTTCGCTGCTTTTGCCGTGAAACAAGCGCTTGAGCCGGGTGACGCCGAGCAGCGTTTTCTTGAGACTTCCATCTTCGCCCGTGCCGGTCAGTTCTACCAATGGCAGACACACGAAGATATGTAGATACAACGAGGGATCAACTACACTATTAGGCGTGTCTTCCGCCTGTGACAACGGCCCGGAAAGAGAGGGACGTACTCCTGTCGGCCCCGGTTGTCTCCCAAATGAACACATCGGGACTAGAAACGACAGGGCAACTGCCACACGATTCGTCTCCACACGAACTCAGGAACCACGACAACATCAACAGTCAAACAGTAGCAGCTGCATCAGCATCAGCAGCAGCGACGGCAACAAATGTGTCAAGACTACGACACAGATCCACCAAACAGCAAAAGCGATAGCAGCTTCAGCGAGGACACCTGGACAGAGTCTGTCCCACACACCTCCGTCGTCGAACATTTGCGCCGACGACCCTCGCCTTGCCGCTGCGCGGTCCTCGGCGATTTCATTTGCCAGGATAGTGAAGGCCGTGATGGAATCCTATGTGCGCAGAAACAAGAGCAGTCGTGCGAGGAAACAGTATCAATGGCCAGTCAATGTGCGGAACGTTTATCAATTTCTAGCGGCTTTCGGGCTGAATGCATGATGGACACCATTGCTTAATTACGTACCCAATCCACCTTCCTTCCTTTACTCGAGCTTGTCTTCCACTGCATTAAGTTACCAGAGCGATGTCGTGAACGGGCGCTCAGTCACTCTGAGATATGCCCGAAGCCGTACTAAAGGTGGCGTCTCATCTAGGTTCAGATAGTGGTTCACTCTGTCTGGTCTCTGGTGCAGAATATCGATTGCGAACCCTTGCGCACAACCAGAACTTACAGGCCCCATCTCTCGTCTTTTCCAGCTCTATGAATACTGTAGCTCTGGTGTATCATTCTCTTTGTCCTCTGTCCTTCTCACCATCTCTATGAAGAATGTCGGCACCTCCTCATCCGCCAGATTGTCGAAGGTCTTGACGTGGAGGGGTTCGCCGGGCCGAAACTTGAGCCCCCGCGTGAGCAGCACCTGCTTGTTGAGCTGCGCGAACGTCGCGCTGCTCACCTGATGGTTGCGATCGGGGTTCGTAACACATAAGGAAGGAGGTAGGGCCAACGCGAAGTGCGAGAACCGTTGGTGGGATTGTTCTGAAACACAGGAGGCGTGATGATTTTGACGCCCTTTCGTCTCGCACCCCAGTAACCGGGGGGGGGGGGGGGGGGGGGGAAATGAAATAAAAG